CCCCCCCCCTTCGCCGCCCAACCCCGACGACTTCTAATCTAACACGTGCCAGGTCCGAAAAGCAAATCCTAGGTACCACGGGGCTTTCCCCGTGTTTTCTTGTTCTTTCGATCTGTCCCGTGGCATCGGAAGCTTTCTTTCGAGCTTCGGACTTAACGAATCGAGAGGTCACTATGGTACAGCATCACGTATCTTGCGGACGTGAATTTTTTTCAACAGTTCCACGTTCCGTTCGACGGTAATGAAACTGAAGGTGGAACTTATTGGAAATAATGATTTCGCAGTCTGACGTCTCGAGGTTTGAACGAACGAAAGTGTCATCACGGAACGATCGTCGGTCGGCCGACGATCAGCCTTGAAATTAAAGATACCATCGTTCAAACGAACAATAAGTTGGTCGCGACCCAGTTAGACGTCTACGTCACGGGTTCGTCAATTCGGAAATTGATTGAAATCCAAGCAGCATTCGCTGAACGCATGGAACTCTTCGCAAACTTTATACTAAGACCCGTCGCATGGCCGAAGCGGGTTTTGCATGAGTTTCGTGAGTCAGAGAATGAAAAAAAAAAATAGATTCACGAGGGCCCCCCGGAGAATGGTGAAGTCGCCCGAATTCCCGTACGGCCCTGGGCTCTGCCAAAATTCAGTGTGCACTCCAGTCCCTGGGTCTGCGCTGCGTGCAAGTGGTGGCGGTCGGTAGTAGGGAGGTAGAGCTTTTGGGCAATGGAGGGGTGAACGGCGATAGAGCGAGTGGGTGGGGTAGGGGGGGAGGTGGGGAAGCAAAATTAGACAAGGGGTAGGGAGACGGTGCCGATGGTGGGGAAGTTGAGATTAGATGGTGGGGAGGTGCAGATGGAGGTGGGCCAAAGTTGGTCGAGTGGGGAGGTGGGTGTTTTGGAGGGAGAGAGAGGCTCAAGGTCGCTGCGGGGCCGCACGCGCGCTTCCAGTTACGTACACACTCCCTCACACTGGGGACACGCACACTCTTATCTTTCTCTCTCTCTCTCTTTCCCTCTTGATCTGCCTACGCTCGTCTAGACTCTCTTGCTCCCCTTATCTAACTCTCTCTCTCTGTCGCACCGTCTTACAGAGCATCGCGCGTCTAACTAGCCTCTTCCTTTTTCACTTTCTCTCTCTTCGTCAGACAGCTAACGGCTGTGCATTAGTAGGTCCATTGGTAAATCGGATCCCCCGAAGGATCCCTTGGCTCAGGGTCAAAGAAATTTATATTTTCATCCTTCTTCATCCAGCTCGCCAATCCCAAAATCTCTCCCTTGTACACGTCTTACTTCTTGATGCTACCTTCTCTCTCTCTCTCTCTCTCTCATTCCCTTGGGTCGTCTCAAACCCCAACCGGGTCTTCTCTATCTTTGTTCCCCGTTGCATCGCGACTAGCTTCTTAGTACGCTCGTGAATTTTTAGTGCCACGTTATTGCGTGTATAAATGAGTAAAATTTCAGGCGCAGTCGCCAACCTGCAGCGTCAAGGCCGGATGCACCTTGTTTGACAGTGACGCGAGCGAGAATTCAGCATCACCGAACCCGGCAAATACGTGTTCGAATTTTCACATCGAATTTTACGTCAAACCGGAAATGCTTTATCGTGGACTAACGATAATAAACTAAACTCCAAGCCCTGTCAATCGGGTGCTTGTCCCATTTTGCGAGGGTTCCATGAGATTCCATAAGGTGCCTTAATCAAGGCGCACTCGCAAGGAACGACGGGTCATCCATAGATTGGCACTAGTCGTGCACCGATGATTAAGAAGAAAAAAAAAAAAAAAAAAAAATTCACGGTCCACAAATATAAGATGACTCAAAAGTGGTAAATAGACAGAAACAGAGAGAGAAAAAAAAAAAGAAATTCGATAGCTCGTTCCGTAACGTTCTCGCGATGCGACAAACACCGCCTTTATATCTGCTGCAGCAGATTGTAAATAATATCGTGCGAGACATGAAAGGGTAAGGGGATAAGAATGAAGAAAAAAAAAGAGAGGAGGAAAAAATAAAAATAATATCCGCAAGAAAGTATAAAACCAAAAGAGAAAGTCGTTCGATCCGAGTGCCTCGTCGCTGTGAATGAATCGTGACATTTCGCCAGTCGCTTATCGTCGCCGATAGGCGTCGGCGCAATTGCGTAATATTTACGATGTACTTGACAAAGAAAACAGCTAAACCGCTCGGCGGACTCGTGTCGAATAATAATTTCGGTAAGGCGGGAGACGAAGTCGAAGACGCGCGTGTTGGC